ACTCGGAACAGAGAGCTTACTAAAGCTATGTTCAAAACTGTGGGAAGTAAACAGGATACACAAGAAGGGTATACAAAACCCTTTATTTTTCTCTATTTACAATGACTTCCGTACTTCGGAATACACCGACCCGCTACTTGGGGTCAAAACTTAAATGTATAAAAATAAAACTAAACTCTAATTTAACTTTAGAATAATAAACGTGGAAGATTGGCCTTATAATAACAGGAAGCGTATGTAGTACAGAGATCTGTGAACACTACAATACGTTTACAATTTATCAAGAGGATTAAAACCTCTGGCCTGGAAGGCAAACAGCAACTGCGTAACTTCTAAGGTAAGCGGCCTGCTTCGACTCACTGCTTCCTCTCTCTCGCTTGGCAAAAAGCCACAACTTAAATACTTGGCGTTCGCCAGACAAACTTTGCATAAAAACCTTAACGCTTATAATTCTGGCCGGAAGTAGAAAATAAGAAGTGATAGTAAAGATTTAAAATAAAATAAACGTTAGTAAAACTTAAGATCCTTACAAGCTGATATGCTAATTTTTCGACTTCGTCCTTAATTTTTGCACACCAGTGTATGTTAATACTTCATCTTTGCTATTTTGAATTCTGATTAAAAATGTGAAATAAATAATACAATAAATGAAACTTGTTTACTTATTTCAAGAGAAGCTATAGTTTCAAACTGATATTGTAATTAAGAATATGCATGTGTACTGCACATGTATGTAATACATGTACACTATGCATGTATGGTTACGTACACTGCGGAAAAAAAAGTGGTACATTTCTATATCTCCCGTTCTACTGAGCCGATTGCCGAATTCAACTCATGTTTTTCATGTCTTGAAAGCGCAACTTAGGATATGTATTAGATTTATATATAGCATTGTTCTAATTTAGGTATTTTGACACAAAATTGGACTTTTTCTGAAATGACATGCCAATTGTTTTCCATATTTCGAGTCTACAACTCAAATTATGCCAAACTGCGAAGTTTTTTAAAAATCGCACGAGTAGTTTTTCAAAAATTAGCTGTCACAATTTTAGCTCCACAAAGTTAATTGAATTGGATATATCTCTTTTTCCATTAAACTTACTTGATTTCTTCTCCGAGAATTCGAAATTTAGGTTGGTTCAAATTCGTCCATTTTTTTATTATTTATTTTTAAAATTTGAGTTTTAAATAATTTTTATAATTTTTTTGGAAAAAATTCTGAATTCTAACCTATAAAATGTGTACCATCGTCTTAGATGTACTTCTAAGCATATCTATCTGCAAAACATTAGATTTTTTTACTCAAATTTTCTTAGGATATTTATCATATTTACATACTGGCATTTACATACTGAATTTACATACTGGCACGTTTTGAAATTTGGAATATTTGTTATAAGGGATAATAACGCCAAATGTGGTTTACGCACTTTGTTAAAAAAATTATTTAAAATAATGAACGATGATAGGTTACTATAGATCAGGGCTTCTTCACCGGTGTTACGGGTACCATTGGCGATTCGCAAGAGAAAAGTAGGTGGTACGCAAAGAAGCAAAGTATTTTTAAATATTAAATTCAAAAATTAAAACCCCAACATCTGATTGAGGTTTTTTCTAAATTTATATGCGATCGGAGCTTTGTTCAAGAGTGGTGGAGGTAGTAGTTTTTTGCAGTGGTGGTACTAAAGGTTTTCAGTTTTTGTTTCAATATGGTACGCGTTATTCAAAAGGTTGAGAACCGCTGCTATAGATTAAGAAGCTCGCGAAGTGAATTATTATTGACCGCAAACTGAAAGAAATGCCCCAATATAAATTTTTGAATTTCTCCGTAAATTTCGCACCAAATTTTACAGAATTTAATATTCAGGCATAATTTGAGTCGTAGAATCGAAATACGGAAACGAATTGGCATGGCATTTCAGAAAGATTTTGTGTCAAAATACCTAAATTAGAACAATGCTGTATATAAATCTAATATATATCCTAAGTCGCGCTTCCGAGGCGTGAATAAAGCAATCTGAATTTCGTCAATCGGCCCAGTAGAACGGGAGATATACTCGTAAAACTGTACCAATTTCTTTTTTTTTTTCGCAGTGTACATGTATGGAATATGCGTACACTGTGCATCTACATTTACGCATACTGTAGGTTCTACAATACGTGTACACTGTAGAACATACAGTACATGTACAAAGATCATACACACAATGCGCTACTACAGTATATATTATCAGATTCTATAGTCAGTATGATGACATTTATTTGCAATATTTAAAATTAATAGTATAAATATTACACTGCTGGCCACCCAAATTACAATACCAAGAAAGTCAAGAGATATCACAACAAAATTTATTTAGTAGATAACATGTTGACCAAGTATCAAGTGATTAAATTTATAGACTTCTGTGAAGTGGGGTTCCTTTCAGAATCAGTAGCCAGAGTAGCCGTCATTGTTGGAGATCACCGCTGCCACACGCCTCGGCATTGATTCAAAGAGACTTTGGATGTGTTCTTGGGGTACGGTAGACCAAGCAGCTTCCACACGTTGCCAAAATTGATCTGGTGTGGCATCTTGGGATGTAATCTGGGTCAATCGTTCAGCAACCATGGACCACATGTTTTCTATCGGCGAAAGATCCGGAGAGCGAGCCGGCCAGAGAAGCAATTCAATCTGGCAATTGACGAAGAACTCTTGGATAATGCGTGCCACGTGTGGTCGCGCATTATCCTGTTGATATATGGCTGTGGGCAAGCCGTGAAGGTACGGAAGGACAACTGGCTCAAACACCTCGGAGATGTAGCGCTGGCTGTTTAAATTACCGGCAATGCGTATTAGAGGAGTGCGAGAGTGATATACAGTACCGCCCCATACCATAATACTCGGTGCATAACCAGTGTGGCGGTGCATATCGCAGCTGTTCAGCATCTTCTCTCCACGGTGTCTCCAGACTGGAATCCGACCATCGTAGTGTTGCAGACAGAAGCGTGACTCGTCAGTAAAGACAATTTCATTCCATTCTGCCGTCCACATCCTTCTTTCATCGTGCCATTGGCGCCGGAGACGTCTGTGGTTCTGCGTCAAGGGTAGACGAAGCAATGGACGTCCTGCGGACAGACCATTCTGCTGTAAACGGCGTCGAATGGTACGCGCAGACACTGGATGATGCGTTACAGACTGAATGGGCTGTACTATGGTTCGTGATGTGACTTAGAGATCCGTCACTGCCATGCGCACAATGTGCCTGTCATCACGTGAAGTGGTGCACTGAGGCGGATGCGATCGAACACGTCGGTCCGTCGTATCCTCCTGCATCCAGCGGTCATATATACGCATTACAGTTGTTCGGTTTCGTCCAATACGACTACCGATTTCCCTGAAAGATAATCCACACTCTCGGTAGGCCGCTCTATCCTTCCTCTGCCGAACTCGGATATTTGATCAAACGATTACTACGAGGCATAACTGACAGTTTTTTTTTTTTTTTTTTATTTTTATTTTTTTTTGAAAAAAACCACAAGAAAAACATAATTTCCGAGCTTGAAATCGTCGAAAATTCCAAGCCTTAAATAGCGCTTTTAAATGGCGCCACAGGCGTGCCTGATGTGCATCTGTGCTGAAATTCTATTCATTTCCATATTTCACCTCCGCTAATGCATGTTGCAAATTTCATGTTAATTGCATGGTTCCTTCAGGGTGTTGCATTTACGGTGGCCTGCAGTGTATATATTATTAAAGGTTTATAGAAGATATTTTACGTCTAAAATTCATTATTCTTATTTTTAATTGTTTATTTATATATTATTTTACTTTTTTCCCCTGAATCTGAGCTTTTCCGAATTCTGGGCCGTAGCCACTCATGTCATTTTTTCTGCTGGTTTAACCAATACTGTGTTTAGTTCTTTATGTCTGACTTCCACTCAATTGTATTTGCTAAAAATGGAGACAGTTGCGTTCGATCTATGCTGCAAATGGACTAAATTAAAATGTAACTTCATCTAAAAGAATTAAATTTAAGACCAATGATAATTTGCCATCCTTTCACTTTCATTTCGTTAAATTACTTTGGAGAAAGCTATCATGTCAAGGCCATTTAGATTTAGTTGGGTCAGTGCTCAAGATGTGAAATTCGGAGTTAAGGAATTGAGTGCAATGTGATATTAAAGATTACGTTAACAATAAAAACAATAACTGTTAAGTTTGGTTTAGGAGTAACATATTTTAGAAGGCTTGTAATGAAAATTGGAGAGCGCTTAGTTGGAGCTAAGTTTAATACTATTATAAGGTATTGTTTCTCTCCTTTCTGCATGCCTCTATGGTGTAACGGTAGCACAGTCAGCGCGTATTCTAGAGAGGGCCAGGTTCGAGTCCCGGGGAGAGTATTGATTACTTTTCAGGTCTCTTCCTTCTAAGTAACTAATGTCTGTGCAGTGGCGCCCGAACTAAATGGTGGAGGATGATGATTCTTCACCACCAGGGTTTGGCAATCGGGTCTCCCAATTCCCAGTCGCTCTTTAATATAGGGAATATATAAGGTATTCTCTTCCTCTTTCCAGCATGCCTTCATGGTGTAATGGTAGCACACTCGGCGCGTATTCGAGAGGTCCAAGTTCGAGTACCAGCGAGGTTGGACAATTTTCATATTTCCTGCTGAAAATAACCTAATGATTCTACACAGTCCAAGACCAGGATATGACTAAATCATTTCTACAGCTGAAGTTTCTGTGTAGTTCTCCTGCAGGTAAAGTCCAACTGAGTCGTCAAGGCTCAAACATATTAATTAATAGTTTATTTACCAATATCAACCAAAAGGGATATATTTTCAATGCTTCATAAAGGACGAACTATAATTTTGATTTATTATATCTGAAGATAAATTTTTTCATTATTAATTGCATGATTAATAGATTCAAAAATAAAAAAATACCGCATAACCTACTGAGTGAAAAAACTACAACTTTAATCTACGCTTATTATGCTTTTTATATGCACTTACGCTGCCGTAATTTGTGTTATTCTCTTTATTTGCATTGTTTCTTCAGTTGAGGTATCTGAAGGCACAGTGAATCTTTCGTATAGTGCAATAGCGCATGGGTAGCTGTCACATTCAACACCCAATTTTCTCTGTAAAATCCAAGAAAAATATATTAGGAGGATATTATTAAAAAAATATACGTTACTTATAAAAACAGAGCTTAAAGACTAAGAAAATACACTGCCAAAGAGAGCACACGTCCTTTCTTCTTGTACACCGAAACAAATTGTCCGTAGCCGTGATTAAATATTGTTGCTTGCGTACGGGTTGGTTACGAAATGAATGCACAAGTCCGAAGAAAAATGGACAAAAATTTATTATTATCACAACAAATATGCTTAAATTTCCTAAAATATTTGTGCAGTATTACAAATTAGTTTTTTTAACTACTCAAACGTTCAATAGAACTTAATTCAAAACAACTAAAGAAAGCTAATCCGCGAATTCGCTACAGTCAACAAGAGCAGTTTTCTAAACAAACGACGTAACTACCACGAACTGAAATTGAAATCGAAATCGAGTGAATGGTTAGGCGGCATTTAGTAGCCTCTGCTACTTTAACCGTCTCTGTTGGAGATATGCCCTAAGGCGTTGGGAAGAATAAAAAATTAAGGTGATTTACACCGCACCGACAAAGGTGAAGCAGGAACATGTGCTAATTAATGCACGTGAGTTGGTTAAGTAGACTTTGGAGAAGGGGGGTTCAAGCAACTGTCACAAGCGTCTAGCCCCTCAGATACTAGTTTCCTCCCGATTCCTCCCTGATCATTTGCGCAGATTCACGCGCAGCTTGTTTACTCCAAGGAGCTCGGCGTGGTCAAAGCCGATTTTTTTTAAAATGCCGTGCGTTTAAAACGTTACGAACTGGGTGCGCATTACTGAGTGTAAATTAATTTCTTTGGTTAGTTTTTCTGAAATAGTTTTCTTTTTAATTGGTATACATATTTATTTGTTCAGATGTTTTATTATAAATCTTTACATAAAGGAAGAATTCATGATTTATTCATTTATTCACCTACAGCCCAAAGCTATTAGAGATACAGATATCAAAACTTAGGAGCTTATTCCTTTTGTACCGAAGATGTCATTTGAGAAGCGATTTTTTAAGATTCGGTCGGGTAAAGCGTGTTTTTTATGTTTTTTTCATATAAGGAAGAAACAGATGTACATAAGGTTATTGCTTTAAAATGTATGGAATATGAATACCTAAAAACCAATTTCAAACGTTTTCAAAATTCGGCCCCGAAGGGGGGAGGGGGAAACGTGTTCTTCACATATTCCTTCACACATCAGATATCCATAAGACAAACTTATGAATTATTGCTGTAAAATGTAAGGAATACGAATAAATGCTGAGATCAACATGTGTGGGGAGGGGGACTGATTGGCATAAAATACAAGTTTATATAATGTACAAGTAAGCCTTATTAAAGGTACACACCAGGTATATAAAGCTAGTTAGTATAAAAAAAAAAAAACTTAAGGTTTCTATTATTTAATGTTATTAATAATTAAAACCCCAAAATAAAAATGTAGCAGCATGTGGCAATTCAAAAAACTGTGATGAGATTGTTACAATGTTCAGTTAATTTTAAACAATTCTACACATAATAAAATGGCCAGTGCACAACATGTGAATGAACATGGGGTTGAATAATTAGAAAATAAAAAACTTGACAAATATGAAATAGTAGAAAATATTGCTTACTGTTCAAATTTGGGATTGACTCAGTTTCTCCAAAATATATTTATCTACATTAAAACGTTTGGTAATAATCTATTGACTGAATAGTATAAAAGTCAATGAATGATTGATTATATGGACAATATTTGGTATTGTTGAACTTGGGGGGGGGGAAGGAAGACAGTAATGCAAGGAGGATGAACAAAAATAGACTTACTCATTAATCACAGAATACATCAGCCTATCACGAGGACCTGAGATAAAGGTTCAAAACCCTGTTCTGACCTTCTACATCTGTTCCTGATCATTTTAAGGATCAGAGTTGGAATTATCTTATTATTAAAGAGAAGTTCTGAAGAATGAGAGAGAGAGAGAGAGTATTATATAAATAAGAAAAAAATATCATCTGACACATATAAAACACATACAGGCATTCATTATTTGATGTTCAGATTTTGAGCGTGAAGGTGCATTTGCCCCTCGCTCCCTATTTTAACTTCTCTAATTTTTCTTGTCCTTTATGCTTGATCAGATAGCCTGGCTCAGTAAAAGTAGGCGGCCAGTGCAACATTGATTAAAAATACAGTTATAACCACGTGCAGTGCTGATAAGGACCACGTGTTTCTGAGACTCCTTCTCCTTTATTTTCTTCTTTCTAGGTATTTCTTTCTCCTGATGATGAGGGACCTTTAGCTGCCCTCGAAATCAATTGTTTCACTATACTTACGCTAAATACAAGGTTGTTTTTACGATTTTGATTCACTTACAGGCAGCTGAAAGATGATATTTTAGATCATAAAAATGGACAAAAGGAATTATGAATAGGTACTAATGACTATTGTTAAAATACAGTGTCTCCCAAAAGTGTTAGTACACTTATGATTTTCATTGAAATAGGACTCTATCCATTAATCAAAAGTAAACTTTCTGAATGAGACTTACAATGTTCAAGATTTATAATCTATTTGTAACAAAATTACATGAAATATTTTTTAAATATAGCAAAAATTCATTTTTAAGAAATTAATAATCAAAAAATGACAAACATTTTATCTCACAAAAGTCTTCGTACACTTCAAAAAAAATCTTGACATATTAGTAAATGTTTTCATTTTTCGTTAAATTAATATTAGTAGGATATCCTTTAGCATCCACAACAGCTTTCAAACATCTGGGAATAGATTTTACTAGTTTTTTTTTTTTCGGGGGGGGGGGGTAATTTCTGTATCAATGTTCACCCATTCTTTCCATCATGGCTGTTTTGAGTTCGCTTTTCATTTTGATGTTGTGATTTCGTATTCTAACCTCCAGCTCTTTCCAAATGTGTTCTATGGGGTTTAAATCTGTCAACTGAGGTGGTGTTTTCAAAACCTGTGGACAATTATAGAGACACTACTGGCAAACGTTGAGAGCCGTATACTTAGGATCGTTATCATGATTAAAAATAAAGTTGTTTCCAATACCCAAATTTTGGGCTGATAATTTTAAATTGTCTCTTAAATATTTAAATAAAAAGAATGATTCATTATGCCATCAATAAATACCAAATTACCTAGTCCTGATGCTGTCATGCCCCCCCCCCACAAGAACACCTCCACCGCCATGCTTAACTGTTCCAACTAAGTTCTTAGAATGAAGTTCCTCATTTTTTCTTCTCCATACAGTTATTCGACCATCGGAACCAAAAATGTTAAATTTGCTTTCGTCAGCAAATAGGACATTATTCCAGTACGTTTCGGGTGTATTTATCATTGATTTTTGCGAATGCTTTCTGTTTGCCTAAGCTTTCTGTTTTTCTCACTAACAAAATTATTTTTACGGGTAGAACGCCCATGTAATCCAGTTTCTCTGAGAACTCGTTGAACAGTTTCAGGTGAAATCAAAGTAGAAAACTTTGCATTAAATTCTGCAGAAACTTTTACAGAACTCAAACGCGGGTTTTTTTTCACAAATTTTCTAAGAATAAATCCCTCATCACGTTTAGTTAACTTCATGTTCTCAACATGTTTAGTTAACCGGTCAACCTTTTCTTACCTTGTTTTCAATCCAATTTTCTTCTTTAAAGCGTTTTATCACATACTGCACTGTAGAATAGGGTAAAATAACTAATTTATTGATATTGCAAATTTATTTAATATTATGATATTGATATTGCAAATTTATTTATGATCAATTTTCGAATGCTGTAATTTCTTTATGACTGCGACCCATTTTTCAATAATAAATAGAATATTATGAAGTAAACAGTAAACAATTAAAGCAAACGATTTTTTAAATGCCACCAGAATGTAAAAATTAAAAAAAAGCAATTGATTATTCTAATTTTGATTTTATCCAAAAATATTTCAGTGTACGAAGACTTTTGTGAGATTGTTTATCATTTTTTTATTATTAATTTCTTAAAAATAAAGTTTCGCTATATTTTAAAAATATTTCATGTAATTTTGTTACGAATATATTATAGATCTTATTATTAAAATCTCATTCAGAAAGTTTACTTAAAATTAATGGATAGAACCCTATTTCAATGAAAATCATAAGTATACGAAAACTTTTGGGAGCCACTGTATATATTTTTCACTAGATGTGTTAAGTTTCTTCAGTGAAATTATGTGTAAAATTTTTGTGATCCAAAATAATTTTTAGAACTGTATTTTTGTCTTCATTCTGTGAAGTTACTGTAGAAGATTTTGTCAGTTAATTTTTCGTTTTGTATTTGAGAATCTTTTCGGTATTATATTTTTATTAGGTGGAATATCTTTATTAGCAGTTTGGGAAATGCATTTCTTGCGCATTTAACATATCAGCAGCTTCTAGTTGTAGTGGTGCTGATTTCAGAATCTTGTTTAACACATCACATTGTTTGTCAGATTTTAATGAATCTACTAATTCTAAACATGTTTGTTATAGTTCATTCGGCTAATCTTTGGAATATGGTAACAGGTAGTTTGGCGACATTTTGGTAAGGCGATAAAAGTTACTAGCTAAGACTTTAGCAGTGTACATGGATAAAGTCAAGAGTGTGCGCAATGCCATTTTTGTGCAATTCTGGGATTTTTTTAAAGTGAAAATAGGTCGACGTGTACATGGATGATACCGTGTATGTGCAGTTCTTAAAAACGCGGCAAGCAGTGGGCGATTCTGCACTTTCTCTCAATTTCGCACCTAATCTTCGTCATGATTAAACATTTTTGTTCCACAAAAGTTCTAGTATAAGCGTAATTCGGCTAGCAGATTGTTGGAAAAAATGTTGAGTATAAAAAAGCTTTTACTTCGTGAAAACAAAATGGCGTCCAAAACAAAACTAGCAGGTTGCTGTAGCAGAGTTGGTCGCCAAATTTTCGCCAAGTTACCATAATCCAAAGATTAACCGTTCATTTTTTCTGTGTTCCACATCAAACTGTT